GGGCAGATCTTGGGCCACAAGTTACTGCCACATGGTTGGGATAATTGATGAAGTCCCGTTCTTCCATTGCTGTCTCCAGCCCTGCCTCTCTGGAAACTCTATATTTTCCCTTTAATTACAGCCCCATGCAGTCTCCCTCCACCACCCCACCCGCACTGCTCAGCCTAGCTGCCCACGGCCAGCGACGTGGCTCCCTCCCCTTCTGTTCCCTTGGTCTTTTTTTTTTTTTTTTTCCTTTGCCTTCGTTGCACAAAACTAGCTCAAGGAGGGCGTGGGGGGGGGGGAGCAATGGAATCTTGGATGGTTTGGAGGAGGCGGGACTCCCTGCTTCCACGTTTGCGGCTCTAAAGAAGCCGGTGGGGGAAGTGGTACAGGACGTCTAGGGGGCCCTGCAAGGAGCCCCCAGTGCTTTTCCTCACTACCTATGTTTTGGCAAGATGAAGGCCCTAAATAGATTGGGGGTCAGGCAGAGCACTTGGGGGGGATGGTACATAGGGGAAGAAAGGACACTGTCTTCCAGAGACATCTCCTCTAAATATAACCTGCTGTTCTGGGGGAGGGGGCTACAAATGACCCTTTCCTGATTGCAGAGAGTAATGGCCAGGATTTCTAGCAAAGAAGTGAGAATGTGGGGAGTAGCCTTAAAATAAAGTCACTCAGCTACCAAACACAAGTTTCCTCCACACACTGAATTCACTTAGGTGTCCCCAGACCAAGTCCAGGTACAATAAGAAAAGGAAACACTCTGTCGCTTTGAGAACAGCCCTCGATGCCCAAGTGCCTTCTACCTGTTCTCTCTGGATTGATACTGCTACATAGGAGGGCTTCTAAGCCATCCCTGATACAAGACCCTCTTCTAAGGTATCTGTGGTCACAGGCCTCCCCCAACAAACTCACTTCCCTGGCATGGAGGCGTTCAGAGAATGAATTTACACAACAAACCCCAATCCATACCTTTAAGACCCCAGAAGCCCTCCAGCCTACCCTGTTGCTCCACTTAATGCACAAACCCCTTTCTGGAAGGACAAGGGTGTCAAACTTCTCCCCAAGCCTCCTCAGAACTGTCTCCCTCAGTCACACCTGGAGCTGGAGAAGGGCTTGTGGGTCTGTCTTGGAGCCATAGGCATGCATGGTGGAACAGATAACCATTCCCCCTTCTTCCTTTCAAGCAACCACAGATCTGATTCTTGGTACCTGTGAAAGATGTCTAACCTGTTCACAAATATTCCTATCCTCCACACCTGGACCACACCAAGAAAGGACCCCCACGCCCCAAACAGGCACATCTGCTTAACTATTTGGTTCTTCTGATTTGGGGAGATTCCTGTCCAGCTTATTCCTTAGTTTTTCCCAAGGATGTCAGAAAGATTAAGAACCAAGGCCAGTTTTCCCTATTATGCCTGACCCTGACCCCTTTGTAGTGTTCCCCCACTCAGTGAATCCCCAGTTTCACATCCTTCTGATTTGAGGTCCCAGAAAGAAAGTGGGGACATCCCCTACCCACTCCTTAGCCCACAAATCAGTATACTGAGGGCCCAACCACACTCTGATGACAGTACCTCTGGCCCGGGGAGATCTGGGGGGCAGGGGCGGCAGAGTTGCAAAGTGGAGGGGGGAGCCGGGTGGACTCCGTTCTCTTCCTTTCCCTCCTCCCCCCGTCTCCGTTCCAAATTGGGGGCCGGGCCAGGCAGTTCTGATTGGCTGGGGGCCGGGCTGCCGGCTCCCCCTCTGCAAGAGGCAGGGTTCCTCCCAGCTCTGCATCAGGATGGTATAAAAGGGGCCCAGGCCAGTCGTTGGAGCAGACGGGAGTTTCTCCTCCGGACGGAGCAGGAGGCACGCGGAGTGAGGCCACGCATGAGCCGAAGCTAACCCCCACCCCAGCCGCAAAGAGTCTACATGTCTAGGGTCTAGACATGTTCAGCTTTGTGGACCTCCGGCTCCTGCTCCTCTTAGGGGCCACTGCCCTCCTGACGCATGGCCAAGTAGACAGTAAGTTCCAAACTTTGGGGAGTTCTTGGTATCGCGTTCTGCTCTGGGTCCTGGCAATTGAGACTTAAACGGAAACGCTGGATGCTCCAGTCAGAGGTGGAAAGGTGATAGAGGGAATTGGGAGGAGAGAGGTCACTCCGGGGTGCAGATGAGGGTGAACAATTCTCAGAAGTGGAGCGCGGGGTGAAATGGCACTGGAGCAAATTCCAAGCACAGGAAAAGTGGGAATCTGGGCACGGGTTGGAACAGAGTACGTCGAAGATGGAATAAGGCCGCTGGAATAGAGAGATTCGGAGTCCAAGATGTAAAAGCTATCAAAAAAGGCTGCGGGATGATTCATAAGGAAAGATTGTTTGCCTTCTCTGCAGGCTAGACAGTGTTGCTGGGGCCGCCGGGGTGCTGGGCTGGCGGGGGAGGGGACGCACGGAGTGGGAGGGTTGCTGGATGAGAAAGTTTGGCTCGGACTTGACAGGGCGCGGTCCCTGCGCCGCCTGCTGGTCAACCTTGAGCAGTAAGTGTCCTGGTACAGCACTTCACAGCGCGCGGGCTAACGAGGGAAGATCTGGGTTATTGCCGGGCTTGGACCTGCATCTCCAGACTGGGAAAATAAAACCAGGGATGGATTAGTTCCTCTCTTTGAAAGAAGTGGCCCAGACCGTGTAAAATTGGTTCCGCCCCGTGCATTGCTTAGCGTTGCTCGCCACCTAGTGGTTGCCTTGATCCGGTACTAGCGCGGTGGGCGTGGTTTACTAATCATTACTATTTGTAGACTTAAGTTCTTTGGCTAAGGAGAGACTCCAAAGCACAGGCTGGCTTTGAGGGATCGGGCTTGTCTCGAAAGCAAGTTTTATTTTAAGGTGCCTCGGAGCAGGGGTTAGGATGTATCCAACTTTAGAGGTACATTTTACTACTCTGGGCCGAACTCTACTGAGATCAGCCCATCCACATTTTAGCCCCTCCCACTCCATCCCACCTGCCCAGGGAATGGAGGTGGGACCAGGGCTGGAACTCCCCGTCTCTCCTCCCACCCCCGCCTCTTGTCCGCGCGCAAACCACACCCCGTGAGCCCCCTTCTACTGTTTAGGACCCCTCCTATTCTCCCGCAGAAGGCTTTTTATTTCACGCGCGTGGGCTGAAGTTGAGTTTGGAAGCAACCCCAGTCTAAAGCTTTGTTTAAATTCCTGAGAACTGGGAAGTTATAGCTGTTCTGGCCAGGCGCCCCGGGGCTGTCACTGAACGCCGCTTTGGAGCAGACCAGCCTTTAAGGACTTGAGGGAAGAAAATAGGAGGTGGGGGGAGAGAGGCAGGAAGTGGAAAATCTACCTGCGCCTCTTAGACAGAGGAAAGGGTGAGTAGGGCTGGGGTTCCCTGGTGCCCCGAGGTGGGGTCTCAGAGCTGCTCACGTCCTGGGTCTTTTCCCATTTGCGCAGTCCCTGAAATCACCTGCATACAAAATGGCGTAAAGATCCCTAACGGTGAGACGTGGAAAGCCAGTCCCTGCAGGATCTGTATCTGCCACAACGGCACGATCGTGTGCGAGGACGTGGTGTGCAGAGAAAAGATAAACTGTCCCAACCCCCAAACACGCGAGGGCGAGTGCTGTGCTTTCTGCCCAGAAGACTTTGGTACGTTCTGAAGCTAGGGTTAGGGGAGGTCAGAGTCCCACCTTTGCCTGTGTCTTGAGAGCCTCTAACACCTCACGTACTTTAGGAAATTTACTCCTAACTGCACACCTTTCCTCCGACAGGATCAACAGGCCAAGAACTCGTTGGAGTCGAGGTAATACTCTGCTTCCTACTTCCTGCTCACAGGTCTGTGACTCCCACTGTCCTCCTATGGACTCCGGCTTTCCTCATTTCTCTAACCGGCCGCTTGTTTTTTCACCCTCCACCCCACAGGGACCCAAGGGAGAACGTGGCCCTCAAGGCCCAAGGGTAAGCATTGCATTCTAAGTGAGCTGGGAAACTGGAGGGGGCGTGGCTCTGGTTTGTGCTCATAGCAACCCTGTTCTCTCTTGGTGCAGGGACCCCCTGGCCCCCCTGGACGAGATGGTATCCCTGGACAGCCCGGACTTCCTGGTCCTGCTGGTCCCCCTGGGCCCCCTGGCCCCCCTGGCCTCGGAGGAGTAAGTAGAGCTTGGAGACCCCAGACCTGTTTGACTCCTCGGTTTTTGTTTGGCTTTGCTTTGCTTTGGGTTTTGGCAGACATAACTTCATATTTTTGAATAATCATAAACTTACAGAGAAGTTGCAATAGTACACAGAACTTTTATTCACCTTCATCACAACTGCTCCATCACTCTCGGGGCACACAGTTCTCCTCTGCGTGTGTGTGTGTGTGTGTGTGTGTGTGTGTGTGTGTGTGTGTGTGCATGCGTGTGTGTCCTGGACCACTTGAGACATAAGTTGCCAAGAACATGCCCATGCACTATGCTCCGAAGCACTTAAGTGCATTTCCTAAGCAGGGACATTCTCCTATGGGACCATGGCACCAAATTTAATGTTAGTTTATCACCATTGCCTAATATACAACCCACTTTCAGATTTCACCAAAGCCCCAAATGTCCTTTATAACATTTTTTCCCTTCTTGTCCAAGACCACCAATTTCATTTCATTATCTCATCTTGTTGGTCCCCACAAATGTAGATTGTTTCTGAGACACTTTGTCATCCTTGACTCAGCAAGGTTTTGAAGAGCCTGGTTGTTGGGCAGAGGCTGTTATTTTATAGACTGTTCTACCGTTTGGAATTATCTGGTTAGATGGTTCAATTGAGGTGTCCGGTACAGGAATAGCTTACAGACAGGCTTGCTGTCTCTCTTCATCACATCCGCAAGCCCATGTCAGTTTGCCCCTTTACTGGCAATGCCTCCTGCCCTTCAGTTTACCATTCTGAGCCTTATTTCTCATGCACGCTCTCTCTTGTTTTTCTAGAACTTTGCTTCCCAGATGTCCTATGGCTATGATGAGAAATCAGCTGGAGTTTCCGTGCCTGGCCCCATGGTGAGCCGCCAGGGGGAGCAGTGATGACAGAGAGGATGGGGGTTCAGAAGAGAAAGGACAATGATGGTCCTGTTAGGGGCTGGTATACAGATAGCTGGGGAGGTAAAGGCCACCTTTGGGACTCCAGACCTAGAGAAGGCGCAGGACGGACAACTGTGATCCCCACAGGATGCAGGACAAACAGACCTCTCCCACGCTGCTTTCCCCTACGATATCACATGTACCCCTTTTTTCCTTCTGTAGGGTCCTTCTGGTCCTCGTGGTCTTCCTGGCCCCCCTGGTGCACCTGTACGTATTCAGGGATCTTCGTGTATCACCTTGGGCATGGGGGAAGTATTGGGGGAGAAAGATTGGGGGAAGGGCAGGAGGCTGGTAGACATCTCTTGTAAGAGGGAGACAGCCTGGCATGAACCTGCCTTTCTGAGCCCTACCCTTCTCTCATTCTCCAGGGTCCTCAGGGTTTCCAAGGTCCCCCTGGTGAACCTGGAGAGCCTGGCGCTTCAGTAAGTCAATCCTCCATCCTGACACACCTCCCTCTCCACAAATCCTCCTGTGGAAGTTCACCCATTCTGAGTGAGGGGTGACTGGTCACCTCCCAACTCCAGTCTTCCTCTACGTTGTCTCTCATCTTGGAGCTCTAATGACCTCTCCTGTCTCCTCTAGGGTCCAATGGGTCCCCGAGGTCCCCCTGGCCCTCCTGGCAAGAACGGAGATGATGTAAGTAGCCCCAGGAAAGGATACTATCTCATCCTGTGTGGGTCCTAAAATCCCCCCTGCAGGATCTCGTCACCCTGGGGGTCAATAACCAGGGGTAGAAGATGAAAGCTCTCCCTGGTGTCCAGACGGCCCTTGGCAGTGACTTTTCCACGGAGTAGCGTGTCTTAGTGAGGCAGCCCCCACTCCCATTCCTCAGAGTGATCCAGGTTTGAGAGTTGGGGACGATCAGATGTGGAAATGGATACATGGTGACAGAATTTCCTTGGAAGGTACTCATGTGTCACCAGAGATGTCACTGTAGATCTCAATTGAGTTTTAGGTTCAAAGTGAGATCCTGGGCCCCTAACCCAAACCCACCCTTCAATAAACCCCAATAAACAAACCTGGGCCTATCTACCCTTTCCTAGTATGGGCTAGGGCACAGCCATAATGGCCTTTTCTCTCTCTGCAGGGGGAAGCTGGTAAACCTGGCCGCCCTGGTGATCGTGGACCTCCTGGGCCTCAGGTGAGCAAGTGTGAGGATGGGCCCCAGGTCTTACTGCACTGGGGATGCATTTAGGAGCCGTGGTCACAGAGCCCTTCTGACACATTTCCAAGTCCTTATTTGTCATTCTTTCCAGGGTGCTCGGGGATTGCCTGGAACAGCTGGCCTCCCTGGAATGAAGGGACACAGAGTAAGTCTCTTTGGAGTCCTTGAAGCCCCCAAAGTCCGAAGTCACCATCCTAACCCCTTCTCCCAGAGATCCTGTTGCATATCATGTCAGGTGGTAGATGCAGATGTCTCAAAGGCCATAGGTTAGACATCCAAAAGAACTTCCTTTCATGGGGAAGAAGTCCCAATAAAGAGACTAGGTGGGATGGTAGGTGAATTGGGGTCTAGTCTAGCTCAGAGACAAGGGAGATGGCTAGGGTGATCTCCCAAAACTCTTCAAATCTGTGTGGGTGTCAAAGTGGCATACTCCCTCCACAGGGTCTCACTTCATCCCTCTTTCCTCCCTTAGGGTTTCAGTGGTTTGGATGGCGCCAAAGGAGATGCTGGTCCTGCTGGTCCTAAGGTAAGAGACTGTCAGAAGGTCCTGCACACACACACACACACACACACACACACACACACACACACACACCAACAGTCCCACTATACATGAATCCCTCACTCTGTTCTCTGTCCCCAGGGAGAGCCTGGCAGTCCTGGTGAAAATGGAGCTCCTGGCCAGATGGTGAGTTTGCTAGCTTGAGAAATGGGGGTGCCCCCAGAGGGAGGGGTAGGGTGAAGGATGGATGGAGGCTAGGAGAGAGTGTGTCTCCATCTCGCTTGACCTCTCTTGGTTTGGTTATCAGGGTCCCCGAGGTCTGCCTGGTGAGAGAGGTCGCCCTGGACCCCCTGGATCTGCTGTAAGTACTCCTAGTCCCTTGGGATGTCCCTGGGCTCTGGTTGGAGTTCCCCAGGAACTATGGGAACTGTCCAGTGCTCAGGGACATAATTGGGCCTCCCCTCTCTCATGCAGGGTGCTCGTGGTAATGATGGTGCTACTGGTGCAGCTGGACCCCCAGTAAGGACGGCCTTGACTTTGAGTTTGGGAGTGTGGGGGGGGGGCAGGGGAGAAGGTCTCAGGGTCAGCTCTTGGGGCTGACATCAGCTGTTGAAACCTAGGAGCTCTTAGCCTCCATCTATGCCTTGTAGTTACACCTCCATTTTGTTCCCAGGGTCCTACTGGTCCCACTGGCCCTCCTGGCTTCCCTGGTGCAGTTGGTGCTAAGGTGAGACCCGTTCTTTCTTTGAGCGTGACTGTCACAGGCCAAGGACTGGGTGTCACCCCAGATCAGAGGAGCCCAGAGTGGCAAGAATGAAGTACATTCCTCAACACCTCTGTCCTGGGGTCCCCTCCCTAGCTCTCAAAGCCCTCATCCTTGCTCTTCTGACCCCACCCCAACACACACCTGGCATCCAGAAGTGATGCGAGAGGTCCCAGGTTGGTTTCTGATTGGTCCTTTCCTCGAATACAGGGTGAAGCTGGTCCCCAAGGAGCCCGAGGCTCTGAAGGTCCCCAGGGTATTCGTGGTGAACCCGGACCCCCTGGCCCTGCTGGTGCTGCTGGCCCTGCTGTAAGTGCCCCCCCCCGTGCCCTGCTACTGTCCCCCCCCCCCCCGTGCCCCTTGCCAGCTTCAGAGTCCTTACCTGTCACCCTCCTCTCTCTGTGCTGCAGGGAAACCCCGGTGCTGATGGACAACCTGGTGCTAAAGGTGCTAATGTAAGTCACCACCAGCCCTCCTCCCATGCCCACCCGCCCCCTCCCCCGTGCCCTCCGCCCCTGGGCTAAAATGTCTGTCCTACCTCCTGCAGGGTGCTCCTGGTATTGCTGGTGCTCCTGGCTTCCCTGGTGCCCGAGGCCCCTCTGGACCCCAGGGCCCCAGCGGCGCTCCAGGTCCCAAGGGTAACAGCGTAAGTACAAAACTCTCCCTTCTGCGCAACTCACGCACTCGCTCCAGTGCGCCCCCTTCTGGGGGAAGCACGCATCTGCGAACCAACGGAGTAACCCCAACTCTCATCTCTTTCTCTCCTGCTCTCCCGACACAGGGTGAACCTGGTGCTCCCGGCAACAAAGGGGACACTGGTGCCAAAGGAGAGACCGTAAGTCCCACATCACCCCTCCTTCTCCTCAGCCCCTGGGGCTTGGGAGCCTCTCAAGGGAGACCCAGGGAGGAGGGGAGCCCCCAGCCCATACTCAGGAGCCCTGTCGCTAGAGGCCAGCATCATAGACTCCGGGGTTTGTGCCCCCTTACCAAGGCCACTCACTCTCTTTCTCTGCCCACTCCAGGGCCCTGCTGGAGTTCAAGGTCCCCCTGGCCCTGCTGGGGAAGAAGGAAAAAGAGGAGCCCGTGGCGAACCCGGACCTACTGGCCTGCCTGGACCTCCTGGCGAGCGTGTAAGTCCCCCACCCCCACCCCGCGCGCGCGCTTGCGCTCCTCCTTCTTCTCGGCTGCCCTCCGTGCTTGCCCAGTGCCTGGGGTAGTGATTAAGCTCACCGGCCCCTTCCTTTCTCCTTGCAGGGTGGACCTGGCAGCCGTGGTTTCCCTGGTGCTGATGGTGTCGCTGGCCCCAAGGTAATCTCTCTGTCCTGGCAGAGAAGCGGACCCCCAGCTGCCTGGTGTCACTTACCCCTGACAGGACTGCTCACGCATCTCTCCCCATGCCCTCAACAATGCTCCCTGCTCCCTGTGCCCGTTTCTGTGCCTCCCTCCTCATATTCGGCCTCACTTGGGCATCCTCACTGATGCCCCCTCCAAGTCCTGAACCTCTCCCAGCATAAAGAATGCCAACCCATGGTAATGAGGCCAAGACTGTGACCCTGATGTGCCTGTGACTTCTCTCCACTTAGGGTCCTGCTGGTGAACGTGGTTCTCCTGGGCCTGCTGGTCCCAAAGGTTCTCCTGGTGAAGCTGGTCGCCCTGGTGAAGCTGGTCTCCCTGGTGCCAAGGTGAGAGCCAAGACCCTCCCTCTGTCCTGCATGAGACTGGGACAGCCTGCAACTGGTGCTCTGGACCCCTCCCCCGCCACCCCTCCCCCTCCCCGACCTTCATTCACACGCGTCTGCCTCTCCCTAGGGTCTCACTGGCAGTCCTGGCAGCCCTGGTCCTGATGGCAAAACCGGCCCCCCTGTAAGTATGCTTCCCCTCTCACTCGTCACCCCTACCCTCCCGTGGGCATACCTTAGTCCTTACCACAATTCTTGTGCCTCCCGTCCTCAGGGTCCCGCTGGTCAAGATGGTCGCCCCGGACCCCCAGGCCCTCCTGGAGCCCGTGGCCAGGCTGGTGTGATGGGATTCCCTGGACCTAAGGGTACTGCTGTGAGTATTCAATGAGGAACAATAAAGAACCAGAGACAGGCATACTAAGTCCACTGACTTGCTGTGAGACCTCAGGCCCTTTAATGACCCCTTCTGGACCCACTGGTAAAATAAGAGACGCTTGGCTCCATTGCTTTGTCTGTGATAAATAAGAATTGTTGCCGGGCAAGCTTCCCCCGGCACACAGATAAGATGGGCCTTCTATGTGATAGCCGCCCCCAAGTTTGGTGGGGAGAACCCTGAGGGATAATAACCATTAGCAGTTCGGGTCACTGCAGGTGAGTGTCAGAGAGAGGAGAGGGGGACCAGGAAGGACCAGGAAGGGCAGCCTCTGCTTTGGGAGCAGGCAGAGAGGCCAAGTGTTAGATGCCAGCAAGGCCTTCCCTAGAGGCTGCAGCCTTCTTGAACAGAAAGCCCCCTAGGAACACTCACTGTAACGAGGGGTCTTTGATTGCAGTGACCCTCAACCTTGCCTCCCTTTCTCCACAGGGAGAGCCTGGGAAAGCTGGAGAGCGGGGTGTTCCCGGACCCCCTGGCCCTGTTGTAAGTATCTCTTTTGAGTCTCTGTCACCTTTCTGCCCCTGCCTGTGACACATACCAATCTCAGTCTGCACTGTGAGAGCATCAGAAGCCACTTGCGGGCTCTGCTCTGTCCCAGAGGTCCAGGCCTCCCCTGCTGCTGCCCTGGGCCTCACCACACTGGCTTTGTCACCTTCTCCCCACAGGGTCCTGCTGGCAAAGACGGAGAAGCTGGAGCTCAAGGCGCCCCCGGACCTGCAGTAAGTGTCCCGACAGGGGAGGCCCGGGGAGCAAGGAAGGGCGGACTCTGCCTGCCTTCTCCTTGGACTCTTCATGACCACAGCCTCTTCTCTGTGACAGGGCCCTGCCGGTGAGAGAGGCGAGCAAGGCCCCGCTGGCTCCCCTGGATTCCAGGTGAGGTCTGGGGACAGGTTTGTAGGGAGTGCGGGAAGTTCCTTTGTTAACTCTTACAGATTCTAAACCCTTCTCCTTGCCTCCTCCATCTCCCCCACTTTACAGGGTCTCCCCGGCCCTGCTGGTCCTCCTGGTGAAGCAGGCAAGCCCGGTGAACAGGTAAGAGGTAGCAGCTGGCCAGAGGTCAGGGGCATGCAGGAATTAAAAAGAAACAGACCACTCACTGCCCCGAGCTGATCAGGAAAGCAGCAGCTAGAGGGATAGAGGTTAGACACGGGGGAGGGCTGTGGTTCCACAAAAAAAAAGAATGAGGGAGCTGCTTATGATCTGGAAGTGGCTGTGTGACTTCTGGGCAAGGTGACTTCTTTACCCAAACTCCTGGCATAACTCTGGCTTTACCCCACTCAAGCCTTCCTGTTGGAAGGAGAAGCTTCAGTTCTCAGCCACGAATGTGTTCCTCTCTAAATATGGGGCCCAAGGACCAGCTCCCAGGGAGAGAGGCGGAGGCTCTTTCTCAGGGGGAGTTCGGGCTCACTGTTGTTCCTCCTTTCCACCACCCCCAGGGTGTTCCTGGAGACCTTGGTGCCCCTGGACCCTCTGGAGCAAGAGTAAGTGGGCCCTCTCATGCCGCTTCCCTCCCAGTGTCCTGAGCTCGGCCCTGTGGCCGGAGCAGCCATCACGTGCCCTCTCCTTCCTTTGTAGGGCGAAAGAGGTTTCCCTGGTGAGCGTGGTGTACAGGGTCCCCCAGGTCCTGCTGGTCCCCGTGGAAACAATGGTGCTCCCGGCAATGATGGCGCCAAGGTGAGGGCATCGTGGAAAGGGTATGATGGCTATGACCCAAACCATAGGGGTGTTGGAGGGTTGGGGGACAAGACCTGAGTTGGGGGCCCGTGGGACCCGTGGTTGGGTCTCTGAGTTTGTCCTTCTAGCTATGGATCCACACACAGGAGATCCTAAGTGAGCTCTGAGCTCTGACAGGGACTCTGTGTCTCACTCATCCTCTTGTTTACCAAACAGGGTGATACCGGTGCCCCTGGAGCCCCCGGTAGCCAAGGCGCTCCTGGTCTTCAGGGAATGCCTGGTGAACGTGGTGCAGCTGGTCTTCCAGGCCCTAAGGGTGACAGAGTAAGTCAACCTTTTCCTCCCATGAGCCCTTGGTGGTTCTCACTTATCTCCTTGCTTTGCTGGGTAATCTTATACCTGTGATTCGGGCCCTTCTCCTGATGTGTTACCATGGTCACGAGTTTGGGGCATCTCCCTGGTGGAGGCTCCTTTATTTTATCACTCTGTAGAACTCAGGGTCCTCTTAACCCAGGTTCCACCTGAATCCCCAGGTAGGCACCTTTTCCCCTGAAAGGATCTTGTGTCCTTGGCACCGGGTCTGAGAAACGTCTGCAGAATGCTGTATAGCTCAACTCCACGCCTCACACTGGAGTCTGACTTTTCCCTGTCTTTAGGGTGATGCTGGTCCCAAAGGTGCTGACGGTACTCCTGGCAAAGATGGTCCCCGTGGTCTGACGGGTCCCATTGGTCCTCCTGGCCCTGCTGGTGCCCCTGGTGACAAGGTGAGTGGCTGCCTTGTCACCTTATTTCCTAACACATAGCTTCTTCAGCAAGCCCAGGCCGGGCTCTGCAGGGAAGGCAGGTCCTGCCATTTGAAGCTGGTTGAACCCAGGAAGTTCAAAGGACCAGGAGGGAGGGGAGGTACTATGGGTTCATCTTCCGGGAGAGTTTAGAGTTCTTGTCTCCCCCTCACAGGGTGAAACTGGTCCCAGTGGTCCTGCTGGCCCCACCGGAGCCCGTGGTGCCCCCGTAAGTACAGAAGACCCCTGATAAGATCTATGTTCAGCCCTTCTCTCCTACCTGCTTTCTGTCCCCCACCCCACTCCCTGTTGCCACCACCTCTGTCCCTTTACTCCATCTGTTCCTTTCCTTCCCCAATGTGGAGACATCTCTCCAAAACCATCATCATCATCTTCTTCTTCTAGGGAGACCGTGGTGAGCCTGGCCCCCCTGGCCCTGCTGGTTTCGCTGGCCCCCCTGTGAGTACCAAGCAAGACCTTCTTTACTTTCTGTCACCAGCTGAGACATGAGACACGGGACCTTGGGTGACTGAATGAGGACAGAAGTGTTACCCTGAGTCAGGGGAGCCGGGTGGCCAGGGACTGGTTGTCCCCAAGTGTCTCTGCAATCCCAAGTTTCGAGCTGTGCCTCCTGCTCCAGCCCAGAGGCCTTCCGCTCCCAGGCGGCCTTACCCACTCCTCCCCTCTCCGTTCTCCCTCTTGCCCAGGGTGCTGATGGCCAACCTGGTGCTAAAGGCGAACCTGGCGAAACTGGTACTAAAGGCGACACTGGTCCTCCTGGCCCCGCTGGCCCTGCTGGACCCCCTGGCCCCATTGTGAGTAGCTCATCCTCTACCACCCAAGCTTTGGGTAGCCTTAGACTTGGGGCTAGCCTGGCTCTCATACCTCTACACTCTCTTACAGGGTAACGTTGGTGCTCCTGGACCCAAAGGTCCTCGTGGCTCTGCTGGTCCCCCTGTGAGTACCATTTGCCTCTCTGTGGAGTCTCCCCAAGGCCAGAGGTTGGAGGGGATCAGGCCAGGTAAGCTGATTGTTCACTTCTGACCCCCCTGTGTTCTCTCCTACCAGGGTGCTACTGGTTTCCCTGGTGCTGCTGGCCGCGTGGGTCCCCCTGGCCCCTCTGTGAGTATCTGTGATTTTGGATTGGGGTGGGGGGGACACGCACTGTCAGAACAGGGAGCCTGGCCGGGGCATGCACCTGTGATGCTTTGGAAGCCTGGACTCTGACAGTCCCTCTTGTGTCCATCTAGGGAAATGCTGGACCCCCTGGCCCTCCCGGTCCTGTTGGCAAAGAAGGAGGCAAAGGTCCCCGTGGTGAGACTGGTCCCGCGGGACGTCCTGGTGAAGTTGGTCCCCCAGGCCCCCCTGGCCCTGCTGGTGAGAAAGGAGCCCCTGGTGCTGATGGACCCGCTGTAAGTACTAGCCCTGATCTCTGTAGTTCTGGCGAGATCCAGACTTTGTGACTCCTCTCCGTGCCATTGTGAGCCCTTCTCCTCCCTCTCTGCCTCCCACAGGGCTCTCCTGGTACCC